ACTGCTATGTTTTCTTCTAAGGTTTTTATAGTTGTAGCTCTTACATTTACGTCTTTGATATATTTTGAGTTAATATTTGAATATGGTGTGGGGTAGGGGTCCAACTTCATTCTACTGGATGTGGATATCCAGTTGTCCAATCACCAGTTGTTGAATATTTTTTCCCCATTCAATAGTCTTGACACCCTTGTTGATAATAAGTTGACCATTGATGTGTGGGTTTATTTCTGGACTCTCAATTCTATTCCAATGATCTATATGTCTATCCTTGTGACAGTACCAAACTTTTTTTTTTATATTTTATTTTTGTATTGTGGTAACATTGGTTTATAACATTATATAAATTTCAGGTGTACATCCCACCTGAAATCAATGTCTTGATTACCATTGCTTTGTGTAAGTTTTAAAATTAGGAAGTGTGTTCCTCCTGCTTTGTTCTTCTTTTTCAGGATTGTTCGGGCTATTCACTGAGTCCACAAACTGGCTTTCACCACAATCTCTACCATTTTTACAAGCGCCCTTAGGCTTGAACTTCTCCACATTCTGTTGCAAATGTAGTCAGTTCCTCTGGGAAGAGAGCAGGAGCTATCTGTTTTATGTCCTGTTTCTCCCCCTAGGCAAAATCTCTGAGCCAGGGCTCTGGAGCTGAGGATAGGGATAATGGCAAACTTCTCTCTGAGTGACACCTCTCCTCTAGGAGTTAAATGGTCAGTGGAGGAGGGGGCAGTAGCCTGAGGTCCTTTCAGCTTGTCTCTCCTGGCATGGAACTACCACCCCATGAGCTGGGGCAAGGGTGATCAGGGACCCAGTATTCTCAGTGCACCATGACCAAGTTAGAGCCTCCATCCCACGAGTAGGGTCTGGATAGGAGTAGGGAGCCCTCACACCTCTCAACTGTACTTAGCCTCAGCAACAGGTAGTGGGGGGAAGGATGAGAGATGCTGAAGTCCTGCTCCTCCTGGGAAGAAAGCCCACCAACTGGGAGCTGGGGGGAGAGGGAACCCTGTGTTTTTGGCTGCACCAGTCCAGAGTGGAGTCTCCTTGTTGAGATGGGAGAGGGGAAGGAGGGAGCAGATTTCAGTTCAAATACTCGAAATTCTTAGCAAATTTTTTGTAGATTTTCTTCAGTAGATATTTTTTGACTTGCTGTTTGCCCTTAACCACTTCCAGACACTTGAAGTTTTTTAAAAATAATTTTCACCAGTTTCACTGGGGAGTGGGTCTACAGACTGTCATGCTGGAAGTTGACTGAAGTTTCTTCTCTTAAAGTAGCTGAAGTTAGGGAGCAATTTGGGGGAGGCTGCAAAGCTGCTCGTACCAATAAGCACTGCTTTGAATTGACTTTTGGTTTTAAGTGGCCTTTTGTCAGCTATAACAAATGAACTTTTAAGGACAGCTAAGGCACCAATCAAATGACTTGTTTCAGTCCTACTTCCTGCTGCTTAACTTCCAAATGTTTATCAACAGGTAGCATATGCTATTTGATCTCAGGGAGTCCTTTTATATCCTCTCAGACCACGTAGCCCCTGAACACATAGGACAGTGGGAGGACCCTTACTCTCCCTGCTCTCACCCAACACTTAAGTGAGAGCTGTATCACCAGATCCTGGGGAGTTTATCTTATCCCCTAACCTGGCCGTTTGTCTTTTAAAACGGCATTTTAACTTTACCAGCCCCATGTTGGGCACCAATTTTGTCAAGCACAAGACTAAGACTGACAGATTTGGCTGGTTAAGCCACACAAGCCCTTTTTAGACTCAGTTTATTACTTACATAGTCAGCAAAGGGAAGAGAAACCAAAGGTACCAGCTCCCTGTGGTCCTTGTCCCACACACCAAAATGGATGAAACTGCAATGAAAGAGGCTGGATGACTGTGATGTGAACTGTGAGACACCCCATTGCTGAGGAGCCCCTGCTAGACTGCAACTAAGCAGTTTTATAGTCTGTATTCATACCCTGAGAGGGGTGAGGAAGTGAGTGATCCTCATACCTCAGCAGAACCCAGGAGACAATGAAAAACTGTCTCATGACAGCCTCCCAGAGGAGGTAGGGAGGTGGGTGGCAGATGGCCTCAGAGCAGTTCTTTACAGGCCTCCATCCTCTCATGTAACAGAGGATCTCAAGCTGTTCTGCCAAGACTCAGATTAGCTGTAGTTCAGGCCTTGCTTATGTGGCATATGTGGATACCACATGGGCACCAGGTCACCATGGCAGAGCTGTTATCCTATACACATCTCCCTCCTAATCAGGTAATACAACACTACAATTCAAAGACCCCATTCAAATATTGCAACTGCTCTAACAATTTCTTTTTCCTTTCTGTTCCAGAATCCAATATAGGAACACACGTTGCACTTAGTTTTCATGCCTTAAATCTCTTTCAGTCTGGGGACACCCCTTGGCCTTCCCCTATTTTTCATGTCTTTGACAGTTAAACCTCCACCCATCAACCTGACTTAGCATCCATTGATGACTCACACCTGAATCAGCCACTACTATGATGATTACCCAAGGGTATTTTCTAATTTCATTCTTCCTTCTAAGTTTACTAGTTGGCTTTCTTCTTAAAGAAAGAGCTTACTTTCTTCTCCCATTGATTTATTTTTATCAATGTGGACTCAAGATTCTTATAGTAATTTATATAATGCTTTACTCTCATTAATTTTATGCACAAATTGTCCAGATTTTGCCAATGGGAACCCCTTCAGGCTGGACCCATTTCCTTACTTTATGGCTCAAAAAGATGATCTGGGCTTATCTTGTACTTTCTCTGCCCCAGCCCTGGAACCAGCCATTTCTCCCAGGGGAGCCCTGGTTACCCTTACTGAAGGATAGTATTTGAGAACAAATATCTGGGTGCTGGATGTGCTCATAGCTACTGGGGTATCACTTTCAAATTCTTACATTATTCAAATGGCCATAACTCTATCAATGTAAATAGTTTAGAAGGTGATGGAGAGAGGAGATGTTAAAGATGTCTGTTTGGTTTCTGGTTTGTGCAAATGGATGCTCCATTCACTGAGGTAAAAAACATTCGAAGGGAATATGGTTTAGATTGAAAACCAGGAGTTCAGATTTAGATGTATCAAGTTTGATGTGCCATTAAGACAGTCAAGTGGAAATGTGTAGTAAGTGGGTGGAAATGTAGGTCTAGAGTTCAGGGAGAGGTCTGGATGGAGACACAAATTTGTCTGTCAACTGCATATAGGTGAGCAAAGATGGAGAAGCCTATGAATGAATTTGAGAAGGAACAGCCAGAGCAGAGAAAAACCAGAAAAGAATAAAATAGCAAAAGCCGAGAGTGGTAGATTTCAAAGAGTGGCTAATTGTCTCAAGACTGAGAGATTAATTAAGGACAGGAAAAGCACCTATTGACTTTTACTATGGGCAGCTCATTGGTGACTTTGGCAGGAGTGGTTTAAATGGAGTGATGTGGGCAGAGATCAGAATGCAATGAGTTGAATGAATAGGAAATGAGACAACAGAGAAAGAAAGCAGGTGTATATTATTCTCATCAGAGTCTTGATTGAAAATAGAGAATCTGCTGACCAGAAGGGGATACAGGGTTGTGAGTGGAATGCATTATTTTGTGTGAAGGTGAGCCAGATTGGTACAGGTAGGAAAGTAATGATACATCCTGTTCACATCACTGTTCCTTGTGATGCTCAACACTTTTAAAGACTGAACACTGAGCTAAAGGTACCTTGGTGGTCTCTAACCTTATAAATGAAGAAAATGAAGCCCAGAAAGGGAAAGGGTGTTCAAGGTTGGCCGCTAAAAATATTCACATCATTTTATTCCCCTCAGATCTTCTTTTTATAATTCTTTTCTTATTTCATAAAATAAGTACCATACATCCTAGTTCCCTATTTAATACTTATAACTTTTTATTTTGCAATAATTATAGATTTACAGGAAGTTGCAAAAATAGTACAGGGAGTCCCATGTACCCTTCACCCAGTTTCCCCGAGTGGTAAGATTTTACATAACTATTGTACAACTTCAAAACCAACATATTGACAATGGTTGACACTACAGACCTTATTCAGTTTCACCATATTTTACGTGCATTCATTTATGGGTGTGTGCAGGTCTATGTAGTTTTAGCAAAGACAGAGATTCATGTAATCAACACCACAAGCAAGATACAGAACTCTTCCATCAGCATAAAGGAACTCCTTCTGTTATCCCTTTATAGTGACACATACCCCATACTGCCTCCAGTCCCTATCCCTGGCAACCATTAATCTGTTCTTGATTTCTATAATTTTGTCATTTCAAGAATGTTATATAAATGCAATCATACAGTATATGACCTTTTTTTGAGACTGGCTTTTTTCATTCATCATAATACCCTTGAGGTCCAACCAAGTTATGTGTATCGATAGTCTGTTCCTTTTCATTGCAGAGTAGTATTTCATGGTATGGATGGTTGGTTTAACCACCCACTCAACTGCAGGACATCTGGGTTTTTTTTCCAGTTTTTGGATATTAAAATAAGGCTGCTAAGAACATGTGTGTACAAGTTTTTGTGCCAATATAGGTTTTCATTTCTCTGGGACAAATGGCCAGGACTGCAGCTGCTGGGTTGTGGTACCTGCATGTGTAACTTTATTAGAAATTTCCAAACTCTTTTCCAGAGGGGCTGTACCATTTTACATTCCTATCAGCAATGTATGAGAGATCCAGTTTGTATGCTCAAAAGCATCTGGTATTTTCATTATTTTTTCTTTAGCCATTCTTATTGATAAGTATGTAGCCATAATTCATTGTGGTTTTAATTTGCATTCCCTGATGACTAATGAAGTTCAACATCTCTTTATGTGCTTACTTTCCATCCATATATCCTCTTTAATGAAATGTCTATTCATGTCTTTTGCTCATTTTCTAATTGGATTGTTTTTTACTGTTGACTTTATATAGTCTAGATTGATCACATATATGGTTTGCAAATAATTTCTCTCAATAATTTCCTCCTTTTAAATTTTTTGCAGAGCAAAAGTTTTTTATTTTGATGAAGCCCAATATGTCAACTTTTTCCTTTTAGGATTGTGCTTTTGGTGTGAAGGCCAAGAACTTGTTGCCTAGCCCAAGATTCTGAAGGTTTTTCTATGATTTTTTTCTAAAAGTTTTATAGTTTTACGTCTTACATCTAAGTCCATGATAGGTTTTGAGTTAATTTTTGTACAAGGGATGCAGTTTAGGTCAAAGTTCATTTTTTTGCCTATGGGTGTCCAATTGTTCCAGCATCATTTGTTGAAAAGACTATCCTTCCTCCATTGAATTGCTTTTGCAACTTTGTCAAAATCAGTTGGGCATATACCATACCGTCTTGATTATGTAGCTTTATTGTAAGTCTTGAAGTCAGGTAATATGAATCCTCCAAAATTTTCTTCTTCAAAATTGATTTAGCTTAATTAATTTTATACCTGGATATTTTCGTCTTTCCTACAGGGAAAGAAAAGAATTGAGAAGAACTGTGGTTGTGGGAAATGAGGGAAAATACAGCATTTATACTCCATATGCCCTAGGGTAATGGTTTTCAAACATTAGTATGCCTCAGAATCAGATGGAAAGTTCATGAAGATTTCTGGGTACCACCTCAGAGACAAAGTTTGACCTCCAAGTGATTCTGGTGCAGGTGGTTTTGGACTACACTTTGAAATTTGAAAAACAATAATCTAGGGAGAAACAAAAAGAACAAACAAAAACCAAAACCAGCCCTTTGTCCCCATTGTTGGGATCAGGCTCTCTTTGTTTTCTTTCTTTCCACATCCTCCAATTCCCACTTTAATTTCCCGTATGCAGTAGGCTTGACTCTTTTCTGAAGACACACTTATCATTTGTGGTTACATACCGTAAGAATAATGCAACAGAACTTTTTAGAACATGCTTTTTTGCTACATCCTAAGTTCTAAATGTTTCTGGAAAAACACATTTATATTATAAGGAAAGTTCCTAGGTAAATAGCATCTGTTCAATAGGAATTTCCTTCAGAGTCAAATATGCAAGAACTCATCTATTTGGTTAGAAAGGGCACCCAGGGGCTGGCCCGGTGGCGCAAGCGGTTAAGTTTGCCTGCTCTGCTGCAGCGGCCTGGGGTTCACCGGTTGGGATCATAGACGCACACCGACGCACTGCTTGGCAAGCCATGCTGTGGTGGCGTCCCATATAAAGTGGAGGAAGATGGGCATGGATGTTAGCACAGGGCCAGTCTTCCTCAGCAAAAAAAAAGGGTGGGGGGAGGATTGGCAGATGTTAGCTCAGGGCTGATCTTCCTCAAAAAAAAAAAAAGGGCACCCATACAGATTCAACCTTTGATAGTTATCTCAGAATACATATTTTAGAGATCAAGAAGGAAGACATAAGACATATGCCTCTCAATGAGAGCAAAGAGTAGAAGCTGACAAGTCACCTTCACTTCCTTCCACTAACTCTTGTGTACTTATTTACTTGTTCAACATAAGCATCATAACTACAAAATTGAAACATGAAATACTCTTCTTCCTTTAGCTTATTCTAGGGAGTGAGTGTATCTGAAAATGAAAATAAAGACTTCCTAGTTAAACAAGGGATAAATAAACATTTAAAATATACTCCCTGGACATATATTACAGGATGTCCTTGCCAATGTACCTTCCATAGCCTTTAGAAAAAAACCTTTCATATTCTACTTAAATCATCTTGCATATGCTCTTTGTAGGCCAGTTACAGGTAGGAGGGCTCATTAAGCCCTAATGAAACTTTTACGAAGACATCTTGTGTTTACTGCATGCATAAAACTCATCCATTGGGATATAAAAAGAGCTGCTCCTACAAAAAGAGTTTGCCTACACATGAGGTATATGAATTTTCAGACCATGTTTAATACACAAATTGAAAAAAAAAGTTTTTTACCCCATGTTGTCTCCTGCTTTATTCTAGAGAAGAAAGTTCTTGCATAAGCTCTTCCTTTTCCTGTTGCAGCTCCTGCAAATGCTGTTGGTTTTGCTCCAGTCTGTCCTCCAACCACTGTAGGAGAGGCCCACTGACTGCCGACATCTGACTGCACAGATTCTTGGTAAACACTTCAATAGGAAAAACACAGATAAGCTAACACTCCACCACCACCAACAGTCCTCCAACTGTGAGCACTGAAAGAAGGGGTTGGAGGAAGAAGTAGAACAAGTACAATAAGTAGGACTAGCAGATGATTTTGTATGGCCAGCCAGGGGAAAGACAGAAGAGCTGAGCCAAGAAGATACCTATCTGGAGGCCATCCTGAACATCCCTGGATCCATAGGCTGGAGGGAAGCCTGGCTATGCCGAGAGTAGAAAGATGACCAGCTCCTTACTCCCTTAGACCAAAGGGCTAAGAGCTACGGAAGGGTTTCTTTGCCCAGACCTCAGACCTTCTCACACTGTAAATGACCATAACGTCCTAAAGAGCTAGAACTCTGCCTTCTGCAACTTAGGTTTCCACTAAGTCCAGGCCAGTAGGAAAACTGCTTATCAAACGTTACATACCTTGAAGAAATAAATACGTTAATCCAAGTCACCTGAAAGCTCCTCTTTTAAAATGAGGAAAAAACAGAGAGATGAAGAGTAAGGGAGTTAGCATCTTTCATGCCTTACTATGAATGTTCAGCTTCATGATGAGACAAAGATTCTATGGCACTCTTCTTAAAACAAATTCCGCCTAATAGAAATATCTTTTTCTCTCTCATAATACCTACCTTATTGAAAATGACCACTGTCATACTGTGGGGTATATCGTCCACGATATACATGTATGTATATGTGTGTGTACGTGTGTGCAGGTATATGTATACTTTTGAATAAAACCTGTATGATTTTGGATGTTACTTTTTCTCCACATAACAATATGCCATAGACGACATTCTGTGTCAGTAAAGATCTAGCTTGCTTTCTTAAGGGCTGCACAATGTTCATCGGAATGGATGTACCTTTTTAATAAGTCCTCTATTGATGGACATTTCAGTGACATCCAATTTCTTGCTATTATAAAGACTGCAATTAATATCCCTTTAAATTTACTTTTGCACACTTGTCCTACAAAGTTTTGAAGGATACATTTCTAGAAGTGAAACTGCTAGATTCAAGTCCATGTACATTTTAAAACTGATTATCCAGTATTTTCCAGATTGTACCAAATTATACCTCCAGGAACAGTACATGGGAGTGTTCACTTCCTCCACATCCTCATCTAATTATCTCAATTTAATCTTAGCCAAAAGAAAAAGTGAAACACTGATAACTTTATCTTAATCCATCCTTCTTTTAAAGATTATTATCAACAATTTGTGAGTTCAGGGTTTCAGATTATACTTATGCCACCACCTCCCAAGAGTTTGAAAAACATCCTTTTATATTGTCCTTCTGTACTTTTTTCCCTTTAAAATGAGCTTTATAGAGGTATAACTTGCAGACAATAAAATGACCCCATTTTAAGTGTCGAGTTCAACGAGTTTTGACAAATGCATACCCCTTGGAACCACCTCTAATCAAGATATAGACTATGTCCAGCAGGCCACAAGCCCATCTGCAGTTCCCTTTTGCAGTCAATGCCCCTTCACCTCTGGCACCAGCAGCTACTGATCCCCTCACTGCCACCACAGATTAGTTGCCTATTCTTGAATTTCATATAAATGGAACTATAGAGTATACAGCATTTTGTGTGATGCTTCTTTCACTTGGCATAATGGATTCATCCAGGTTGTTCATGTCTCAGTAGTTTGTTCTTTTTGTTGCTGAGCAGCACTCCGCTGTATGGATGGCTCATACTTTGTCCATTCCCCCACTGACAGACACTTGGCTGGTTCCACCCTTTGGCTCTTGTGAATAATGCTGCTATGAACATTCCTGTACGAGTTTTTGTTAGAACACTTGTTTTCAACTCTTTGGGGTATATGTCTAGGAGAGGAACTGGTGGCACATTTGATAATCGTAATTGTCAACCTGTTTTCCAAAGTGGTTGTACTATATTTAATAGTAAAAGTTTAAATACATCTGGAGTTTATTTTTTGTGTAGAGTGTTAGGTAGGAATCTATTTTTTCCCCAAGTGGAAATAGAAGAATATAAATCCATTAAGGTTAAGACTGTCTCTTTTGTTGAGCAATGTTCCCCAGTGCCTAGAATAGTGCCTAGCTGAGAGTAGGCACTCAGATGTTTCTTGAATGAATAAACTAACAAACAATGAACTGTCCCTACACTATTCAGTGAATAATCCATCCTTTTTGTTTTATTTGGAGTAACATCTTTCTTAAATATAAATTCTAATATATACATGGGCCTATTTCTGGGGTCTATTCAGTTCTACTGATTTGTCCATTTTTGAGTTATTACCATACTTTTTAAATTACTGTGGCTTGAGAGTATGGCTACATATCATATATTACCCACTTTTAACTCTGTCATGTTTTACCTTCAGATAGAAATGATGGGACAGATAGACAAAGTTATCTCTCTCTTCTTTTCCTCCCAAAGTAATTGCCCATACCACTTGAAAGCCTCCCCTTCTTCCTCACTGGTGACTTTGCTAGTCACAGGGGAAGATCGCACAGAATGGCGTGGGAGTCAAGGTTAGTCAGAGAGAAGGTGCAAATGGGTAGGTGTGTATGTTGGGGAAGAGTGATTTAGTGTGTATATTATATTGAGCTTTCTGTTCCTTGGCCTTGTATAGGAATTCCTTCTACATTTACTGACATAAAAAGATTTCCTCCCTCAGGCCCTCCCTCTTATTTGTCTGTCTGTCTGTCTGTCTATCCATCTCTTTCATCTCCCACCACAATAGGCTGGTAGTGGTATGCTGGAACCAGCTTAGACCAGCTCCTGAGAGCTGACTGTTGAAATTTCAGGAAGTTTGTGAGCTGGTTGAAGCCATGTTAGTTGTTTGAAATCAGCCATGGTAGGGGTATTACACCATGGAAACTGGCAAACACAAAAAAATCAGTGCCCTCCCTGCTCCCCGTTCCTGTCTTTCCTCCAGTCTCACTCTAGGTAGCATTTACAGTGTTCAACAGTCCACAGGGTTCAACAGAAAGGTTGGGAGCAGGATTAATGAATGGCAAAGCTCTTAGGAAAGGAAACTTGAGGATAACTTGTACCCATCACTTCAATCACTTAAACTACATTTGCTTCTGTCAGCTGAATATTTCAGGGATCACTGCCTATACTCAAGAAAAGAAAATCTTACCTGAGCCATTATGGATCTTGGTTACTGAGTCCAGATGTGTGAGGCTAAAGGGATAAAACAGTTCAGATTAGTAGCAAAGTAGCAGTGAAGGGAAAACAAAATGGTCACGGACTAACAAAATGAGAAATGACCCCAGACCTTTGCCAACTGGATTAGATGAGTATATATAATTTAAATTCTAGTTATTGGTAAATTTTTCATGATTTTGGGGACATGATTTTATTCAGAACTTTGAGATAATTCAAGGAGATAATTTTGAAATTACTGTCTCTGACTGAAGCCTTCACATAGTACACATTTGTTGGGCAAGACCTAGTGCTTGGCAACAGGACTACTAAAATGTTGTAGTTTATTTTTTTTACAACCAAAAAAAGTGTCTTTGCCCTTGAAGGATATAAAGTGCAGCAGGAGAGAAACAAATGTTAAAGAGATTATTATCATACAATGTGAGAAACATTATGACTCATAGAGAGGTGAAAGGAAAGCGGGCTCAAGAGTTGAGCTGCTAAAGGTGAAAGGACAGAAGATGGGAGTAGGGACTATGCCCTGAAAGGTGGAGAAGAGGAGTGACGAAGGTTTCTACCTGTGGATCCTCCTATATGCATCCTGCTCCTCCTGGCAAAGAATCTTGGGCAGCTCAACTGCTGATTCAAGGCACACTTTTCCAATGGTTACATGAGGTACAATATGGATTGGGATTTCAATTCTCTCATACCTGCAAGACAATCAATTCAGGTCAGTTTTTTGTTTGCTTTCAGCTTTATTGAAGTATAATTGACAAATGGGAATTATATATATTTAAGATGTACAAATTGGTATTTTGATACATATACACAAGTTGCTAAATGATTACTACAGTCAAGCTAATTAACATATCCATCACCTCACATAGTTACCATTTTGTGTGTGTGTGGTGAGAACATGTAAGATCTACCTTCCTAGCAAATTTCAAGTATATCATACAGTACCGTTAACTGTAGTCACCACATTGTATGTTAGATCTCCAGAACTCATTTATCCTGAAACTTTGTATCCTTTGACCAGCACTCCCCCCATTTTCCCCTGTACCAGCCCTGCCACAACAATCACCATTCCACTCTCTGCGTCTATGAGTCTGACTACTTTAGATTTTACATATAAGTGAGGTCATACAGTATTTGTCTTTCTCTGTCTGGCTTATTTCACTTAGTATAGTGTCCTCCAGGTTCATCCATGCTGTTGAAAATTGTATGCATATATACATATATATACACACACCATTTTCTTCACCCATTCATCCACTGGCAGACATTTAGGCTGTGTTTCCATATCTTGGCTATTGTGAATAATGCTGCAATGAACATGAGAGTGCAGATATCATTTTGAGATCCAGATTTCATTTCCTTCGGGCATACACCAAGAAGTGGGTCAGTTTTTAATGCTGAGTTCTCATAATCAGAAGTTTTCTATAGTTTTAATAGAAATTTTGGGATACAGCATGCTTCAAAGATTAAACATTCCTGTAATTCGTCTATTAAGTCGACTTCAAAGTGGACAGAGTTCAAACTGAGTTCATCTGGGGAGCAAAGTGGAAGCACATTTGCAGAGCCAATATTCTCTAGTCTCACAGAAAACCTGAGGCCACTTCTGTAAACTTAATAGAAGCCTTGGGAGCTCAAGGTCCTTATGCTCACTCCCCAGAAAAGGGAAATAGCTAATTAATATTGTTTTCAGTCAGGAAGTTGCCAGTGAGGTTGAACACATTGATCACAAAGCCTGGGGAAGAGGAACTGCAGAGTCTTCAGTGACTCTATCAGATTCATTATTTAGATGGGATTACTCATATAAATGCTCACTTGTTCTAACTCAGTGTTCACCAGTGGTCCTCGTTTCCCGGTCTCTCCCCTGGAGGGGAATAGGTAAGAAATTCACAAATACTTGCATTGTCATGCTAGAGTGGGAGAAACAGATATGCTTGTTACTGAGGCCAACCAATCTACCTCTACCTACTTCTCACCCCAAGTACACCTAAACTCCACTTAACAGTAGGTTCAGTGGAGCATCCAGGTTGAGGGCCCCTGGCACTGTGAGGCCTCATTGGCACATGGTGGTACAACAGCATAAGATCCAGCTCCGCTCTCTCTCTTTCCCACCCAGCAGAATGTGTCTGGGCCCCATACCACAATCTAGATGGAACACTAATGATGGAGGATGACAAGCACCCCTCCCCTCCCCACATCCAAGTAGTCAGGGAGAAATTCATGAAAGAGTATGCCATAGCTGCTTGTGGTTTGCAGATGGCCCTTTGAAATAATACACAGTGACTATTATTAATTATGTTTCCAGAAACCCTGAAGAACTTAATCTGCTGCTGCTATCAGTCTACTTAACAGGGTTTCCCACTGAGATTATCAGGACCATGAGCAGAAATGGTTCCAATGGTTCACTGAGAATGGACAAACATCTTTATAAATTCCTGAAATAGCTAGAGCTTCTGCAGTTTACTTAAAACTACAATCCCACGAGCTAGATAAGTAGAGACCCAAAGCTGAGACAGAAATTCTGCTTCTGCTAATGAACCAGATGGTTAAGACCAATCCTCCTGTTGAGAGCAACTAGAATAGCGGGGCCAAACAAAATAGCATCTGTTGGAAGTCACTGGAGAGCTACCAAGGCAGTGAGTAATTGTGGGGTCAAGATTTGGGAGAGGAGGAAAATCCAAAGAGATGAGCCTGGCATCTAAGGACAGCCTTCCTGGAAAGGCATCTGCTGATTCCAGGGAGGAAGCTTATAGGCTGGGAAGTTTCAGAGAGTTTCCTAAAGGGCTTACGGGTCTTGGGTGACAAAATTGGAGTTCAGGGCCTATCAAGGGGGAGAGGCCTGGGTAAAGTCGTCTCCAGGCTTTGGGTTGGGACCTCAACAGTATACATACTAGGAATAAAAATAGACCAGCCCTTACAGGGACTAGAGGCTCAACTTTGAATCATCTCAATTCCTAACTGGATTGATGTGATTTGATAATTCTGCTATCAGTTAGGATCTAGAAGGTTGCCAAAGACCATTGCACCCACCATAACAACAAGAAAACAACAGATAAAACAAAAAAATTATAGATTAAAAAAAAGACCCCAGAGAGCCATGGATACAAAGATAAGTCTAAATGAACTACATTCCTGAGAGGAACAATGAGTAGATGAGTAGAGACCAGTGGCCACTCTCCTCTATGGGGGCATTTGTCTTGTCTGGAGGCACAGGCAGGTGAAGGATAGGGATTGTCATACATAGATGAACTTTGCTGGGGTAAGAGAAAGGCAATTGGGGCTTGTAACAAGCACGTGGGCTGGCCACTGAAATATGTAGAAGCCTGAAAAACAGTTAGTTCTCCTCTCGTGCTGATTCTACCTGACAGCACTTGCCTAGAATATGGAGGCATAGGAAGCTGGGACCTGAGCTAGAAAACAGAAAGAGATATATTCATAATTTCATGTGGATTAGCTCTAAAATTCCCGGTAGAAGGTGGGAACTGGAACACACATATAGAAGATCTCACCCTGTGCTCAAATCCCGGCAAATTAAAGTAAAACTGAAAATAACTAAAGTAGCAACACAGCTAACTTCTGACTGAATGGAAGTGATAAGCCTCTCATCCTGGCTGTTTGATAGAGGGATGGGCATGCCCTCTCTAGGGAATAATAATATTTAGTCTAGTCTCTATGGTTCTTCTAACCACTATGCAATAAAAAGAAAAAAAGAGAGACATAAGGAAACAAGAAAATATGACAGATGATCAAGAGAACAAGTCAATAGAGGAAGACCCACAGTTGACACAGATACTGGAATTACTAGACAAGGAACTTTAAAATAACTATTAAAAATATATTAAAGAAATTAGAGGTGAACATGGGCAAAATGGATGAAAAAAATGGAGAATTTCAACAAGCTCCAAAAAGGAACCAAATGGTGGACTAGGAGGCTTCAGGCTCTCACATTCCCATAGTCACTGAGTTAACAATAACATATGGAACAGAATACCTTTGCAAGAATTCTAGAGATCAGTTGAGAAATTATAGCACCCGGACCAATGTAAAACTAAGAAGAGATTCCAGCGAAAGGGGTAGGAAAAGTCATAGTATTTTGCATGCCTGTTCACGCCCGTCCCCCTATCTGCCGTAGTGCAGCACAACTGGGAGGAAACCTCCCACACTGGGGATCCTCTCTAAGGACAGAAACAAAAAAGTGGACCTTGAATCCAACATTCTTGCTTGTCTGGCAGCTGCACAAGGGACTGGTTTCTTGGCGGACTTATTTGGAAGCCACTGAAAACAGACACAATCACCACTTCACATTACAGCTGCAGTTCTGCAGGCAGATGCCAGGCAGAGCAAGAGATTATGGGCCTCTGAGGAGAAGCAGGGACAAGCTGCTTAGGGAATTTGAGACAACTAAAATCACATGCACAAGCACAGACAAGATAAATCCTGAGAAAAGGTTTGAGAGGTTCTAGAATCTCCAGCTGGACTGATCATTGAAGGTCTTCCCCTGCATGAAGCCAGTCCATAAAGACTGGGAGCTGTGGTTGTTTTTCAAATATTTTTTTTTTTTTTAAAGATTTTATTTATTTATTTGTTCCCCCAAAGCCCCAGCAGATAGTTGTATGTCATAGCTGCACATCCTTCTAGTTGCTGTATGTGGGACGCAGCCTCAGCATGGCCGGAGAAGCGGTGCGTCGGTGCACGCCCGGGATCCGAACCCGGGCCGCCAGCAGCGGAGCGCGCGCACTTAACCGCTAAGCCACCGGGCCGGCCCTGTGGTTGTTTTTCAAATGCCCAAGTCTCAACAACAAAAATCACAAAGCATACAAAGAAACAAGGAAACATGGCCCAATCAAATGAACAAAATAAAATTCCAAAAACTGACCTAAAGAAATATCTACTTAAGTCCTTTGTCCATTTTTAAATTGGGTTATTTTGTTGTTGAGCTATAGGAACTCTATATATATTCTGGATATTAACCCCTTATCAGATATATAATTTGCAAATATTTTCTCCCATTCTGTAGGTTGCCTTTTCACTCTGTTAATTGTGTCCTTTGATGAACAAAAATTTTTAAGTTTAATGTAGTCCATTTGTCTATTTTTGCTTGTTGCCTGTGCTTTTGGTGTAATATCCAAGAAGTGATTGCCAAATTCAATCTCATTTGCAGTTCCCATTTTCTTCTAGGAGTTTTATAGTTTTATGTCTTATGTTTAGGTTTTTATTCCATTTTGAGTTAATTTTTGTATATGGCATAAGGTAAGGGCCCAACTTCATTCTTTTCCATGTGGATATCCAGTTTTCCCAACACCATTCATTGAAGAGAATGTCCTCTCCCCACTGAGTGTTCTTGGCACCCTGGTCAAGGAACATTTGACTATATACCTGAGAGTTTAATTCTGGACTCACTATTCTGTTCCACTGGCCTTATGTCTGTCTTTATGCTGGTACCACACGGTTTTGAATACTGTAGCTTTGTAATAAGTTTTGAAATCAGAAAATATGAGACCTCTAGTTTTTCTTCTTTTTCAAAACTGTTTTGGCTATTCAGGGTCCCTTGATATTCCACATGAATTTTAAGATAGATTTTTCTATTTCTGAAAAAAAAATGCCATTGGGATTTTGAGAGGGATTGCATTAATTCTGTAGATCACTTTGAATAGTACTGACATGCTAACAATATTAAGTTATTCAATCCATGTAT